TATCTGTATGTCCCCCCCTCCCCCCCTCCTCTTTTCTATACTCTTCCTCCGCCGTGTTTCAATCAACCAATCAATCCATTAATCAATCAATCAATCAATCAATCAATCAATTAATCAATCAATCAATCAATCTATGGATTGGATTGGATTGATTGATTGATTGATTGATTGATTGATTGATTTTTTGATTTTTTATTTCTTGATTGATTGATTGATTGATTGATTGATTGGTGATACTTTTGATAGGGAGATGGGGAGATAGCAAGATGGGGAGATAGGGAGATGCGGGAGACAGGTGGATAGGTGGGTAGGAAGATAGGTAGATAGATAGATAGATAGGGAGATATGCAGGTACATAGATGTATACCTAGATGAGTAGATAGAGAGGTATGCAGATAGGGGGATAGAGAGATAGGAACATAGCCTTACATAGGTAGATAGATGGATAAGTACATAGATAGATAGGTGAACAGATAGATAGGGAGATAAGAAGAATGGTAGATAGATGGATAGATAGGGAGATAGATAGATTACATTACATTATATAGATAGATAGATAGACAGATAGATAGATAGATAGATAGATAGATAGATAAATCGATAGATAGATAGATAAGTAGATAGATAGATAGATAGATAGATAGATAGATAGATAGATAGATAGATAGATAGATACATAGATAGGGGGATATGGAGATAGGAAGATAGATAGATAAGTAGATAGATAGATAGGTAGATAGATAGATAGATAGGGGGATAAGGAGATGGGGTGATAGGTAGACAGGTAGATAGGTAGATAGGTGGATAGATAGATAGGGGGATGGGGAGATAGGGAGATAGGTAGTAAGGAGGTAGATAGAAAGGAAGATGGGTAGATAGATGAATAGTTAGATGGAAAGATGGACATGTAGATTGATAGATGAATAGGTAGATGGATATGTAGATAGATAGATACATAGACGATAGATGTGCTTCGCTTTCCCATTGTGTTTCTTTGATTCGAACTTCTAGCAACCCCTCCCTTTAACTTTTCAGTTCCTTCATCGATATTCTTCGTTGACTGTGCCACAGCAGCGGATGATGTCTTGCGCCACTAACGTACGATTTTCGTTCGGTCTTTGATGCAGCTTCCATATTTGTTGCTTGCCTCACGCTGTAGCTTGTCCATTGCAACACCTGATATTGTTGTCATCCTCACCCGTTCAATCAGCATTGTTGTACGCAGCGGTTGCTGTTTTTGCGGCAGCCTCGTGGTGGTAAACACAATGGCGTCCACGAGCAGACGACGTGGACCCGCGGCATACCCACCCTTCGAGCCTCTTCCTGATTGGAAACAAGAGGACTTGAAGCGTTCACATGCGGTTTGGCAGTGGGTGGTTAAAGGTCAGGAGTGGGGTGTGGTGGGGGATGGAAACTTCCTCATGCGTTGCTGCCTATGCGACGAGGTGTTTCCCGGCTCACGATCGAGGGCAGCGGAGCACTTCACGAAAACGAAGGCGCATTGCCCTCGACGGACGGTTGAGATGCTGTGGCGCTTGCATCGCCACGGAGCACAACTTCGGGACACTATGTCACGGAGGTTGGCCAAGGAGTATGCAGATGCGATGAGGGAGGAGTTGGCCGTGGAGAATCTGGTTGGACGTGACACTGCTGCCCCTGCTGATGCGTCCGCCACCCAGACACGAACCAATGGAGGAGAGGACGGGAGAGGTGCCACAGGGCCAGATGGTGGGCAACAAGACTCTCTTGCCAGAGACGGCACGAATGATGTTCGTGAGTGTTTGCGAGCGCTCATCGGTATGGGGGATGGAGGTGACAAGAGGGGGGCGCGAGGGACTCCTACTACATCAACGGCCTCCACGCAGGTCGCACTCCGAGAAAGACAGACAACCTTGGATCCGTTTTTGGGAAACAAGGTGCATAATGATCTCGATCGTTTGTTGGGACTTGCAATGTACCGTGGCGGCGTGCCGTTCAACTGGCTACGGCTAAAGGAGACGCAAAACTATTGGGACTACATTGTCATACTCCTGCGGTCATCCATCGTATCGGCGCCACGCCTGCTCTCGTACGAGGGAGTGAGGACGAGGATGATGGATATTATATACCACGAGGTTGCAGCACTCATCGCCCCTAAGAAGGCAAAGTGGAAGGACACCGGTTGCACCTTGATGACTGATGGTACCACTTACCAGCGCAACAAGCTGATAATGAACTTCATCGCAGCAGGGCAGTCAGGGCCAATCCTTATCCGCACCATCAACATGTCGGCACGAGATAAGACAGGTGTGAGTTTGGCAGAGATATGGGAGGGGGTGATACGAGATGACATAAGGGTGGAGAATGTGAACGTCATCTGCACAGACAACGTGGAGGTTATGAGGGCGACAGCGAGTATTCTACAGGACCACCCAGACCCAGCCATCGCACGTATCCCTTGGATCCCTTGCGCGGCGCATTGCTTGAGCTTGCTGCTTAGAGACATTGCGGCACAACCATGGGCCGCTGAAGTGATGAAGAGAGCGCATAAGATTATCAAGTTCATGCGGAACAAGAAAAAGGCGCTCCATATTCGTCGTTTCTTCCAGTCATTTTCTCCTGCTGCACGATATGATATGCTCTTTCGCAAATGTCAATCGTTGAGTCTTTCAGTACTTCTGACATGCAACGACCACAATGACTGAAGATAAAGAGAGAGGGTCACAGAGAGAGAGAGAGAGGGGGGGGGAGAGAGAGAGAGAGAGAGAGAGAGAGAGAGCTGGAAGTAGGGTTCACTACTGCGTGACACAAATTCACCAACATGGCAGTGCTAGACAGACATTGGCCCGTAGTAGCCAACCTTTGTTTTTGATTGGTGCTGGATTGCGGTTTTCATTTTGCTGATGGACGCGTGAGGGCGCGTCGATTAAATGCTGAGATGCCTTGCTACAAGCACGGTTCACTTCTGCGTGACACAAATTTACCAACATGGCAGTTCGCGAGAGAGAGTGGCACGCAGTAACCAACCTTCCTTTTCGAGTCTGTAGAATTGTCGTACTTCATTCTATGGACGGACGCGTGTGGGATCCTCAATTAAATGTTGAGATGGCCTGCTACAAGCACGGTTCACTATTGCGTGACACAAATTTAGCAACATGGTGGCATGAGAGAGAGAGTGGCATGCACTAGCCAACCTCTATGATGATGACAACCACGGATGATGTTTTTTTCATAACATAGTCGCTCTATGACCAATCACACAAAGATGATCATTACAAGGGATTGTACAATTGTGTATCATAAATAACAGACCATATGTTGTAAAGTGACTGTTCAAGTGCTATAGTTCAGAGTCTTCATTTTTTTTTTTTCTTTCTTTCTTTCTCTCTCTCTCTCTCTCTCTCTCTCTCTCT